ACCACTCCCCCTATGACTCTCTAGGCCTCAGTTTCTCTAGCTGTGAAAGGGGTAGAATTGTGTTTCTATCCTTCAAAGGACCAGACAACACATGGGAAGGGCTGTGAGAAGACGTGGCACACAGTGTGATGACTTGGTTTCTGTAGCGGTCTCCTGGCAGGGGAAGGTGGCTACTGGCCTTGCACTCCAGGTCAGCACAGGGGCCAGAGCAGAAGCAGTGATCGCCCTGGCTTCCGGAGCCAGCCCACTGCCTCTTGGGGAGGCTGTGCTGTGAGTCACCCTTCTGACCACGTGGCCTGTTGTGTGGTCATTCTGAGCCCAGGGGGGCAGCAGGGGAGCACGGGATTCTTTTTCAGGTAACTAACGGGCCTGACTTTTCTCATTAGGCAGAGAGTACTTAGGTGCTGCCTTGGACTGAATGTTTGTGTCCCCAGTTAATCCGCTGGAATTCTAGCCTTTGGTATGATAGTATTTGAAGGAAAGCCATTGGGAGATCATGAGGATGGAGCCCTCATCAATGGAGTTAGTGCCCTTATAAAAAGAGCACTCTCACCCGATTTCTGCCTTGTGAGGGTACAGTGAGACAGCAGCAGACTGTAACCTGGAAGGCTCTCATTAGAACTAGACTGTGCTGGTACCCTCATTTTGGACTTCCCACCACCAGGAGTAGGAAAAATAAGTTCTTTCTGTTTATAAGCTGACCAGTTGAGGACACTTTGTTATAGTAGGCTGAACAGACTAAGACACTTAATATTTTGGGAGGCACACAAAATGTTTTTCTTTCCTTTTTTTGTTTTTGTTTTTGTTTTTGAGACAGGGTGTCACTGGGTAGCTCAGGCAGGGCTTGAATTCACTCATGGTGATCCTCCTGCTTCAGCCTCCTGAGTGCTAGGGCTACAGGTGTTCCCCATCATGCCCAGCCAAAATGTTCTCATTTATAATCAGAAGTTAAGCCAGCTGTAGTGGTACACACCTGTACTACCAGCACTTGGGAGGCTGAAGCAGCAGGACTGCTGTGAGTTGTGGGTCGGCCTGCACTACATAGCAAGATCCTATCTCAAAAAAAAAAAAAAAAAAGTTTGCAGATGCATTAATAAATAATATTAATATGTTTGTGTTTATTACAACATAGTTGTAAAATCTAATTTTTTAGAGGAAAGGACCTATCTATGATAGCAGAAGTGCATAGGACCTCTGGAAGTTGGAATGCAGCCTAGGTCTATGTTCTGTGCAACACTCAGGCAGTTTACCGCGGGTCCTCACCCCACTGCACATGCACTTACTGATCCCATTTCAACGTAGAAAGCAAACCCCAGCGGCTCAACCTGAGGAATGCAGCAGCGTGGCCTGCGGCCCCTGGGTGTGTGCTCCATGACTGTTCTCACTCACTGTGCTATGTTCCTGGAGAGATGGGTGGCTGATCTCAACCATCTTTTCTCTTGCATTCCATCCCAGGTGCGGCATGTGTACCCACCAGGAGCAGACGCCTGTCTAAGGCCAGAACTTGCAAACTGTTGGTGTGTGTGGGTTTTGCATGAGCATGTAGCTTGATAAAGTTTCTAGGCAAGGGCAAAACTGGCTCCAAGCTTTGAAGCGGCCTTCTGAAGTCTCTCTCACTCTCTGCCCACATGAAAACCACTGGGCTGGACTTCCTGTCATTGCTTATAGATCAGAAGTCGGAAACTTAGTTCTCTTTTCCATCTTGCAAGATGGCGGGCGGGAAAAAACTGTGAAGCCAGACACTAAGGAGTAGAAACCTGAAGCCAAGAAGGATTCTGCCAGTGGTACTGGTAAAAAGGGTAAGGTGAAGAAGGCAAAAAAGTCCAAGAAGGGGCAGCCCCCATTGTGGCCAAAATCCTGTTCTGGTTAGAGGAATTGGTAGATATGCCCAATCTGCTATGTATTACAGAAAGACCTTGTATAAGAGAAAGTACACAGCTGCTAAATCAAACATTGAGAAGAAAAAGGAGAAAGTTCTTGGCTATGATCATAAAGCCAGTCAGTGGAGACAAGAATGGAGGTATCCGGGTGGTTAATCTTCGAAAAATGCCTAGATACCACCCTACTGAAGATGCACCCCAAAAGCTCTTGAGCCACGGCAAGAAGCCCTTCAGTCAGCATGTGAGGAAACGTCGAGCTAACATCACTCCCGGCACCATCTTGATCATCCTCACCGGGCATCACAGAGGCAAGAGAGAGGTCTTCCTGAAGCAGTTGGCCAGTGGCTCGCTGCTTGTGACTGGGCCTCCTAGCCTTAATCGTGTTCCTCTATGAAGAACACACCAGAAATTTGTCATTTACACCACTACAAAAATTGATATCAGCAAAGTGAAACTCCCCAAAGTGAAAAACACTTCACTGATGCTTACTTCAAGAAGAAGCTGTGGAAACCCAGACACCAGGAGGGCGAGAGCTTCGACACCAAGAAAGACAGATACCAGATTTCAGAGCAGCACAGGGTGGATCAGAAAGCGGTGGACTCACAGATTTTAGCAAAAATCAAAGCTGTTCCTCAGATCTGGGACTACCTGCTGTTCGTTTTTGCTCTGGCAAATGGAATTTATCCTCATAAATTAGTGATCTAACTTTCTTACTAAGAACCTAATTAAATAACTGATACATAAAAAAAAGAGAGAGAACAGAAAACTGCTGTGCTGAAGGAGACGACAGAAATCCACCAGGACACATGGAACATATTATGATGGATCCTTTTATACTATAGTACCAAACTGCACCATTCTCCACCTGCCCACCTCTTGATAGCTGTTTCCTCCTGGCTCTATTACCACGGGCACAGGGGGAGCCTCTGTGGCCTGCCCAGGCTGTGTTGGCAGGCAGTGGAGTGCTCCTTTCTCTTCTGGCATTTGACTGACTGGAAGTGAGGGCAGAATGGCTCATGGAAAGGGACGCGTGGCTCTCCCACTGGGCCCTAGCTTCACACAGTGTGGCCTTTGGTTCACCTATAAAATGCGAATCAAAATCACTGTCTGGGTTTGGGGTGTAGCTCAGTGGTGGAGCACTTGCTGAAGTTTCCACCTCCAGTTCTGCAGAAAACAAAACAAAAAACACTCAAAATACTTGTCTGCCTGCTTCACTGGACCAACTGAGATAGTCTATGGGAGACTCTGAAGCCATGGGAGGAGTTGCGGAAATATCGTTAACACCAAGGTGTGACCACTCCGTCCTTTTTACTGCTCTATTTCTTGTCCACCATCTTTGCTGTGGTACTTTAAAGTCTCTTTCAACTCTTGTGGGGTGTGTGTGTGTGTGTGTGTGTGTGTG